CAAGATGCTATCTTATCAATATGGACCAACATTTCTAAAAAATGCTTTCAGCACCTTACTGAATCAATGCCACGTAGAATTAAGGCAGTTCTGAAGGCGAAAGGGGGTCAAACACCGTATTAGTATGGTGTTCCTAATAATCCTTTAGGTGAGTGTACATCTTAGTTCAGGAAAAGACTGTATGAACTGTGGATTGTAATTCACCCAAGATTCTTCGAAGGAAAATAAGCAGGTATTACCATGAGCCCAAGCTCATCGCAGATGCTGTAAAATTGGTCTTGCTCGTAAATGCCACCTCCCCACACTCTCAGGGTGTTCATGTTGGCATCCACGGCCGACTGGAGTAGGTTCTTCAGCCTACAGAGGACACAGGACGCCTTTGTAAGGGTCACACCTCGAGGCTGCATTGCTGCTACAGGGGAACCTCCATGAAAATTAGAGGATGTCAGTTTGGCAGAACTAAATGGGATGAATCAGTAGAAGAACTGTGGTCCACCATCAGACCAAGAGGTCAGCAAAAGGCCAGGACTGATATGCTGCAGCAGGAAACACACGGCAGGACTAGGTCTCACGTTTCAGGCGTGACCTGATCCTGGAATGAGTGGGCTGGGATCCAGTTGGAGCCTTTGAGGAAGACTGGCCTCCCGTTGATCTGGAAGTAGAAGCTCATGCCGGGGGATCCAGGGATTGGTTTCTGGATCAGCTCTACGGTTCGAAAATATACCTACAGACGTGGAGACAAACATACAGCAAGCCAATTTTTTTGGGGCAGTGTGTGACTCCGTAGGTTAGGACTCTGTGCCGTGACGGGAAGGTCACTGGTTTAGATCCCGTGGCTGGCAGAGTGATGTCACTATTGGGTCCTTTAGCAAGGCCAGATGCCCATCTGCTCTAGGGACTGGCTGACCCTACTTTCTCAACTGTACACAGCTTAATATATGTAAAGAAATGAGTAACAAAAGGAACCAGGATGCTATAAATATAGCAAAAACAAAAATAGTCCTTTTCTAAAGGATTTTTAAAACTATGGAGATTCTATTCAGTGGTAAATGTAACTGTAGCTCCCACAATCCTCCTTGGATGGGATTGCTCCTTTGAAAAAACATAAATTTAGGCCCGAGTGGCAGGATATCCGTTAGCATGAAGACATCACTTTAAATGGTGTGAGCATCACTCAATGTGGAAATTCATCTCTATAGTCACAATAGGTTTTTTCATTCTGGGTGGTGTTCATTTGCAAAGGCAGATTCTTGCTTGGTTACAGGGCTTACTAGCACTATTAATAAACAGGAATAAATATATAACTATTTGGACCTTTGTAATTTGTTTTTTTTTGTCTGTTTCTAATCCATGAAAAACAGTGGTGTGTGACATATTTCAGAGATATCTCAACAGCAGTAGAAATGCAAATTTTGCTTAAAAACAAGAAAACACTGCAACATTTGATACTTGTTGCCTTAAACACTAGACAGCAGTCATGCAATTATTTTATTCGTTTACACAGCTGAGTATTTCTTACTTGCAGGTTAAAGTGATCTGCTAAATAGCAAAAGCCCTAGCAACAGCAGAGCATCACTGGTTAACTTATGTCCCCCCGCCCCATCCAGGATGATGCTACGAGAAGGGGGTCTTCCACCACAAGCCAACTTCAACACAGCACCACGTTCAGTCTGCTCTGCCAAGGCACTTTTCCCCGGGAAGCTTATCAGCAAGAGAGATTTGGAGACAAATTCAACTAAAATATTGGTAGTGACAGGAAATTGCAGAAAACCAGAAATTTCGTAACCAGAGCGGCGGGGTCAGCCTATACCAAGCCGATCTGTATACTGATCCTAAATGTCCTCCTTGAACATCTGTATCTATGGGTTTATTTGTAACCCACTAACTCTACAAGAGCTGTGCTGCATTGGCACATTGCAAGCATCAGGTAAAATGATCAGAGAATATTAGGGAATGGCTGAGAAGACAGACCTGAGTGACCGTGTCCAAGACGAGTCCCCCATCTAGCATCATCTGCACGTTCATTTGGTACCGGTTCTGTTTTCCATATCCGGCGGGCCACCAAAGGTCCACTGGGGAACTCTACAATGGAGAAAACAAGGCTTTACAATGCTTTTGAATGTATTCATAATGCCGATGCTCTCAAACATCACTGACATGGCAACTAACAAACAAAAACATCCATCGACTCTAGAAGCCAGCATGGCAAGCCCAGGTCACACTCTCCACAAGTGTAACGCGTCCTTATTCCCAGCTGATCTTGTGCCTAGTTGACTCCTTGTGTGATTTTCAGCATTTGCTTTTATCCACAAGCGGTAAGACCTCTCAAGAGCCACACTTAATCAATCAGCAACTGCACACAAACATACATACTCACCATCTCTCTCACATCTTTATCACTAACCCTTGCATATTTGCACCCACTATCACAGTGTTGTGTTATTTGTACTTTTGTCTTGTTTATTGTTATTTCTATAGTTGTAAATTATCATATTTTATTATATTCGGAAGGTGGCACATTGGTGCAGTGGTTAGCACTGTCGCCTCACAGCTCTCGGACGAGGGTTCACGTGCCAGCCATGGCTCCGCCAGTGGAGTCTGCATGTTCTTCCTGTGTTGTCGTGGGGCTTCTTCCAGGTCCTTGGGTTTCCCCCACATTCCAAAAACATGCTGAGGCTAATTGGAGTTGTCAAACTGCCCATAGGTCTGCATGTGTGAGTGAATGGTATGCGAGTGTGCCCTGTGATGGGTTGGCGCCACATCCTGGGCTGTTCCCTGCCTTGTGCCCTGTGATGGGTTGGCACCCCATCCTGGGCTGTTCCCTGCCTTGTGCCCTGTGATGGGTTGGCACCCCATCCTGGGCTGTTCCCTGCCTTGTGCCCTGTGATGGTTTGGCGCCCCCTTTTGGGCTGTTCCCTGCCTTGCACTTGTAGCCTCTGGGATAGGTGCCAAACCCCCCAGAAAATACATTGATATTACACTCTGTAAATTTAAATATTTCCCTAATTTTAAGAACCTGCCAGAATAAGCATTTCACTATGTTGTACAAATGTGACAAACTTTGAACACTGCTTTGAAAACAAATGCAAATGTAATGATACGCAAGATCTTCTTACAGTGCTTCATGGCTTCTGCTAGGATGTAACGGCTTATCTTAGTGCAGGGCTATTCAACTCAGGCCCTTGATTCCAAATCCAGGCCTAGTTTTCAGTTCTCCCAGGTAGTTAGTTTAATAATTACTGATTCTGATTGGTCAGAGGCTTCACATCCGGCTCACAGGTGAAGGAAGGCTGGAAAATCAGCAGGGCTCGGCCCTTGAGGACCGTGAGTTGAATAGCCCTGTCTTAGTGTGTTCCCAACAAACATATAATACACAAACATGGCAGTAAGAGCTTTTGTGTAGCAGTGAGCTAAACGTTAATCGCTGCTTCACATCTGCGAAACAATCTTAGCACAATCGTAGGCTTTGGATGGGTGCTACACCGGAAGACTGGGAAGATTTGGAAAAGGCTAAGTATGAGCAATGTGTCAAGCTCAGAATCCATTGGGAATTTTTCAGCTCGTGGCCCCCAGGTCTGAGAACAGCAGCAGACATACAGACAGCACACATCAACACCGAGAGCCCCCCCTCACATGAAGGGACCCCCTCCCACCTTGTTTACATGGAGGATGAATGTGTTATTACTCTGTCCAGGGGGTAGCGATGCCTGGAAGGTTTGCTGCGTAGCTAAATCAGCAAGGGCCAGCTTCACGTATCCCTCGACAGCCATTACGGTATCGAAGACCAGCTCCACCTCCACACTCCACAGGGAGGAGCTGGAGTCTGAAAAGTGTGTAGGAGAAGCAGGAAGGAAACAACCACACAGGAGCATATTAAGTCTCCCATCTTCTCCTAGACCAGAGGTAGGTAACCCTGATCGAGGAGAGCCGGAATCCAGCAGGTTTTCCATCCTACACCGGCACTCCAGGATTTGAGCTGCCTAACCCTGCTGAAGACTGCCACAAACCAGCTTAAGAACAATTAGAGAGAAATTGAAACCCATGACATTAGAGTGAACCAGTTAACCCAGTTCCTGTTAAATACATCCATGAAGTCAAAACATCACATAACAATCAAGCTTCTGAAGTAGCCATACTTCTCCAAATCTCAGCTATAATGAACCAATGGCACTGAACTAAGCGGTGAAAGACAACTGGAAGTGTTGACATTGCACAAGCGATGAGAGACCAGGTCCCCATGAGGGTTGGGGGGGGCATACCAAATGCTGGGGCAGCAGAGAGATAGAGCAGCCGCAGAATATCGTAGGACTCTAGCCGAACATCCCTCCAGATTCCTTGAGTGGGAAAAGATGGGCCCCAATCCCAGCTGAAGGAGCTCTGTGCCTGGAAGAGAAGCATACATACACATCTACTGATGCGGCTTCTCGTTCACTCAGTGAAGTGTTTTTTAGCGGACTGCGCGTACACGACAATTGTGTGCATAATTATTTATTTTACCCCTTTTTTTAAGCAGTGGCCCAAGATGCAGGGCAGGGGAAACTCTAAATGCAGTAACTTTGCTCAGCAGCGGCGCTAAAAACAGGAGTACAGTCATCAGCAGCGCTCTGCCTTTAGCCAAGTGCGGACCCCAGGAGATCACTGTCCAAAAATAACCAGCTGCCTGTGCTTTTAACTCAGACTAATTACGCAGTTTTCCTGTAGGCCAGCATTGCCGTCACATCCACTGTGACTCCCTTCCCTTGGGAAACGGGGAGGGCTTTAAACATGGAGCGGTCCCGCAACCGTTTCGGCAACGTTATGGGAACATTGCGTGCCTGCGGCCAACAGTACAGATGGCCCTGCTTGCTCATTTGCATTAACGGTCTCATCTCACGCCACTGATTCCCTCTTGACGCATGACCCATTCAGGTTGTTTCTTAAACAACCTGAATGGCCATTCCTGCTCAAAAATGTGCTTCTTAATGGCACACGATGGTGAACCTTCAACTACTACAGGATAGGAAGCGTTTCAAAGCTACTCATTTCAGGCATGGACCAGTAAGCAAAATGGCCGTTTGTCGTCAAGAAGTATTACACAGATAAATCCCAACACAATTTCTTGCCAAAGGAAATGAAAATAATGTATAATACAGTAAGAAAAATGAGGTAAAAATATGCCATGTAGCGATGAAAGGTGCATAATTTACTGCAGAAAGAACTACACAGTGATAACCGCAAAAGAGAAATAGATAAATATAGAATAGATTAATCATTGTGCATTGCAGACCCCTGGGGAAAAGCCACGCCTAGTCACAGGGTTCCTGGCACAGGGAAAGAGGCATAAGGGCACCTTCACCAGGCTTCATTCTGCCTGAGCCCTTAATGATGCAGTCTTTACAGCTTCCGACTGGGCGAGCTTGCAGTCTTTACAGCTTCCGACTGGGCGAGCTTGCAGTCTTTACAGCTTCCGACTGGGTGAACTTGCAGTCTTTACAGCTTCCGACTGGGCGGGCTTGTAGTCTTTACAGCTTCTGACTGTAAAGCTGTCATTCAGAGAAAAGTCTCTGGGCGGGGCTTACCTTACGGATGAAGTTGACGTGACACTCGCCCTTCTGCACGGGTGGGGGGCAGGCGGGGGGCACTTTGTATGTGGTATGGGCCTGGCTGCGGCGTGCCGAGTAGCCCACTGCAGAAACCAGGTCAACCACCAGCACGTTGTCGCCTTGCCTCAGCGTCATGCTGACGTCAAAGTCCTGCAAAGAAATATCCCATGTCTTATATGAGCTGTTGGGGGAAGGGCAGACCTGCCAGTGACCTCATAACTTACATATCTGCGGAACATGTTGTCTGTTGTCCCCACGATAACATCATTGAGGGAGATAGTCGACACAGTGTCCACGCCATCAAACACCAAACTAACCCTCTGCTTTTGCCTGAAAAGAAGAAGAAAAAAAAAGACATTATCTCTGTGGCAGATGGTGCTAAATCATTCATTTCCTCTGGTAAAACTGGCAGAAGAACAACACTTTTAATAATAGGCCTGCGACATGCACGAAACCTATTGCTGAGAGCCAACAGCAGACTTAAAATGCTCTCTTCAAAAGGCTTTGTTCATGCACCAATAAAATATATCTAAAGTCTGACAGTAGATGAGGTTATTATATATGTTGCACTTAAACTAAACAACCACTGTTGTCCTTTTGATGACGTCTGATAACCTGAGTGCCAAGTAATTAGAAGACCATGGAGCGTGCAAAAGTCACATGAAAACCACACAAGGACAGTCTGTGTAAGCACGTGAGTGGTGTCACGCTCACTTAACAAGCCACGACGGACCCATCTCAGCCTGACATATGACTGGGGTGGACAGGGTGGACGGGGTGGACGGGAGGGGGGGGTGAAGATGAATATTCTTTGGATATGGGGGATGTTTCCTTCAGAAAATTGATAACACAGATCAGAATGTGATTACCAGTAATGCAAGATAAATGGTATCTGGTAATAAAGTAAATAGAACTTTGTGATCTCAGTGTCTTCAGTTAATCACCATAGTTATGAGGTGTTAACTAAAGAATACAGATAAAATAAGAAGCAGCCTACAATCATCTTGCTGGGCAGATTAGAACCTTATTCGATCAGCTGCATGAAATGAGGCAATGGCACTTCACTTGGCCCTCAGACCTTGTGTTTGACACATGTGCAGTAAGTGGTTAGAAGTAATGACCAATATACCGTACTTAACAGCGGTTTAATGGTTAAGGAGGCAAGGTGAAAGTGGCTCTTTACCTGGTCCCCCGGGGCACAGAAAAAGTAGTGGTATAGGTCCAGTTATCGAGTGAAATCCACCTGTAGGCCAAGTCATTGAGCCTGTAGTAGGGGTCCTGAGAGAGAAAGCACAGTGTGCGAGAGGTGGGCGTCATGAAAAGGCTGAATAACATTATCAATATGCAATTCGGTTGGGAATCTCAAAAAAAGAAACATATGACAAAATGCAGCACGTTTTTCAATGAAAAAATGCTCTTTTATTTGCTTGCAACTTTGAGGCAACCAATACTTTTTTACATTATTTTATGGTAAATTATGCATTTGAAGATAACAGAAATATCCTGATGTAATTGCACCAGGCAGCTATGTCTGTTACCAAGTTATTCAGACTACAAAACATCATAATTTCTCAAGCTTGGTTTAACTGTATCGTCAACCCACTAATTAGTGGTATCTTGGCTAATTACTTTTGTGCAATAAATTGCATTAGTAATTACCTATATCTATTTATTTAATCACATCAAGGCCTGCAACAGAAAAAAAAAAAAAATTCCGTAATGACAGTAAATTTTAATCCATAAATTCCTCTTCACTGTTAGCATGACAGGACTTTCACATCTGGCTGTACATGTACTGTGGAAGTTTCTTGGTAGACAACTCGATTCAAAATTAGGTACATGGCTTTAAAAAGTTACATATTTTTACACTTGGGTATACAACAGCATATTCCATTTCAATGATAACAAAATGAAATCTAAGACCATAAAAACCAAAACCTGCAATCAGACTTTCAGGGTTGCCAACTTTGGTCAGCTGGCTGGCCTGAGATTTTCAATAAGAGACAAGTCTGCACATATGCACACGCATTTAAATGTATGTAACAGATTTATTGCCTTGAAAAATTGTTTGTAGGGTTTGCAAAATTAGCTGATGTAGCTGTAGGTTTATAATGGAATAATAAAGGAATAATAATAGAATAATATAGATTTGCCGTGAGATTGCTCGCGTGACAATCAGACAGCGTGAGTGTCACGCCAGATGCGTGAGAGCTGGCAGCCCCGCTTAAAGTAATTAAATTTAGATCAAGTGTGGAAAGCTGAAAAACACAAGGGTTTTTCACCACGGTTAAGTTAGCCTTCAGTTTTCTAGCTTCAGTAACTTTTCACGGAAGTAAGGTGGGGCGTTTTTAGTGATAAAATCCTGTTGTCCAGTCCACAGACAACGATGCACACCGATTATTTTTTCGCTTCAAACCATTTCGTGATTTCTGCAAAATCGTGTTAATAGCTAATAAAATAGGTCCTGTCAGCTGTAATGACATGGTCGGTTAGCATTTTGGGCTCATGGCAACTGTTGCACACCTCTTTGTTTCCCAGATTGCTTTACGTATGATTTTTAATTAATTTTTTAATGTTCGAATGTATCCGTATAATGTGCAATGGGACAATACATGAATGGGTTAATAACTTTAAAACTAGATGAGACAGGCACATCTAGTGAAGTGTGCTTTGATCAGTGGACTACATATTAATGCTAATGTATTAAATGTGACGAAACACGTAATCAAGCAATTCAGCTGCGATACATTTGCTTTGTCCCACGGTGCACTGCCTAATTCACACTTTACAACTTACTTATGGATAAATTTGTGTTATCAATTAATTGTCAATATGTATGAAATGGAGCAATGGCATGTAATATGGATACGATGTAATAATTAATAACTGCTAGACAGAACGTGATCTTGAAAATCCAAGGGGTGTGCATTGTCCCCCAGACTCCACTGATAAAGCACACACACAATTGGACATGGCTGTCCCATTTTGTTTCAGAGCTATTGCCCCTTTAGTGTGTTGCCCCATTGCACTTTAAGTGGATGCAATATAATAACAAATAACTATTACAGACAAAAATAATCTGAAAAGGCAAGGGGTGTGCATTGTTCCCTGTAGTTCACTGATCAAAGCACACTGAAAACTAGTAATAACACGGTGGTCCAGACAATCCAGGCGGAAAGTTTTGGATTTGAATGCAGGATCGGGACAGCCAGGGGGAAGCTAACCTACCTGAATTAGTCCCTGTCTGAGGAGTGCGGAGTGCACGCAGCCGGGAACGTCTGCAGCGAGTGACAGTGACCCGTTTGAGTTCCGTAGCCCCCATTTCCCACTCAAGAGACGGGACTCGGACCTGGACGTTTCCACTTGCCTACGTGAAATGCACAAACTCCAAACGCACACTAAAATCGACAGTCCTTTCCAGAACGCCTTCATATCAGGATCAGTAAATAAAAGAAGGCACGCCAGATCTGTTACACTACGTTTCCTGCATTGAACAAAGTTATACCCGAGGCAGAACCAGACTTAAAAGACGCTGTCATGTTTTTTTTTTTTTTTTTTGCAATCGGCGTTTCTTTTCGCGCTACTTCCGACTTCATATCATCAGGTGACGAGTCAGGTGATCACCGCTCACGCGCACAGCTGCCCATGTGATTTCTAGCCACACCCCCTACGAAAGCACCCTGCACGCCGGTTCCGCCTTTGCAGATCTTTCCGTGTCTTTTTCTTTTATTTGTGTAGGGTTCCGCCACGAATTCGTTTTGTTTCATGTTGGCATTTGCTTTCTACAGTCGGAATGCTTTCTGTGTATATTTACGTCCCACCCCCCAGTATCCTCTTTTTTGAAAACCAAAATATGGTCACCCTATTTACTGTAGCATTGCTACTCAACAAGTTTATTATACCGAAAGGTGATATATTCGTGTTAGAGTCTGGATGAAGTAGCACAGTGACTGCTTCAAAACTACTGCTCAGCCATAGCGCCACGAGTGGTTTCTCTGTGTAATCAGCCTCTTAATGATCTTATAATATATCGTAGCAGAATGTGATCTGAATCAGCATTTCTCAAATCTGACCTCACTCTCCTGCAGTGTGTGCGGGTAGCAGTGGACTTGGAGTCTGTCCCAGGAAGCAAACGGTCCAAGGTGGGGGACGTCCTAGATGGGATGAGAGAACACTGCATGGCATCCACACTCATGAACCATGGACACCTTAAATCAGTGTCTCAACCCGGTGCGTAGGGGACCCCCCAGGTAGACCATGTTTTTGCTCCCTCCAGTTCCCAGGGAGAAAAAAAGACTGTTTGGGGATTCCTGAAAACTGGTTTAAGAAACACTATTTGAGACACACCAAATCTCTTAGAGAGTCTTTGGACTTTGCAAGGAAACCAGGAAACCCCGTAGGGATACTGGAGGTCTGACCCCAGCAGATCAGCATGCAGCCCTTAGGAGCACTTAAACTCACAGCTGGTGCACTAACCTATCCAAAAGACACGGGGAACACATGCATACAACACAGCTTGCAATTACCTGGGTTAAGAACTGTCGACCTTATGCATAATGCAAAAGGTACATTAACTTTTCATAGGATCTCTGAGTTCAAACATCATTAACTTATATTCTGTTGAATGCATTGATTCCTCTGAATTAATCTCCATCACCTACTGTGGGTATAATCCAACGTACATGGAAAAATACCCAGATCCTTACAAAGCCTCCTTCCCACCAAACAAGAAAACCCACTAAGCAATATTTGTGAGTGATACAGGCAAATGTTACCCATATAGTTCATACATACCCATCCTATTTTTACATCAGTAGTAAACACCAACTGTTATGTACAAGAGAATACAAATTAACAGACTAATACAGTTTTATTGAAAAGTACACCAGACAGCCAGGTAGCGGTTTATACAACTTTATTGAGGGGGAGAGAGGGGAAAAAACTATTTTAAAATAATCTAGCAGAGCCATTAGCCAATCAATCATCCTCAGAGCCTTGAGTCTTTCAGTGCTACAAGAAAAAAAAAGTTATGGGAGATTGATTAACTAATAGCTCCCGATTTCTAAAAACAAGGGGAAAACACAAATGAAATTACACAAAAGAAACTCCAGGGGAACTGATGTATTCAACCTCCCACCCACCCCCACAACTCCATCATCGGCAGAACATAAATCGGTTATCTCTTTATCAACATGCATAAAATACAGAGTTATAACCTTATGCCTTCCAACCAGCTGCTGCTTTACACTCTGCAGAAGTTAGCCATCCACATTGCCGGTTACGAGCATAAAATACATTTTTTCTAACGCTATTAGAAAAAGCTGTGAAAAACATGGATGCCATCCCAGCAATGAGGTGATCCTGAAGGGAGAGCTGGCAGCAAATGGGGCATCCTTGACGGTGTTGGCATCTTCAGCACGCAGTAGTGCTGGGGCTTCGTTTATGTCTCATAACCAAGCGGCTATAAGGATATGTCGGCATTGACACGCACTCCATGATGAGCTCACCAACGTGGGCACTTTTAATGAGATCTACATTTGAAAAACTCAAGGCAAGATGGTCTTGTCCAAGCCAGAGTCCTTGTAAGAGCGTGTGACAATGAAGGGGCACGAAAAGAGAAGGGGGGTGGGGGGGGGGTTTAAAAAAAAAAAGGTCTGGAACAGGACAGCAGCCAAATAACTGAAAGGAAACCAGTAATTTAAAGTTTATTCCAGCTAATGTGTTCAGTTTTCAGATGTCCACAGAGCAGCATCACATTGCATACTTCTGAGTCCATTCCCGCGCTATTCTGTTGTACCTGTGTAAAGACAAAGACATTAACTTAGGGAGGACAGACTCATGCGTCTACATGGCAGACGGAGTGACGCAACTGTGTTTATAAAGGTCAGTATAGGAAACATCAAAGCAGGGCCGCACAAAGTTAAGGGGGCAGAACTCACCATTCACAAGAGCAGGATTATGTATGATAAATTCGCTTAAAATTTCTCTGTGCATGTTTTACATTACCCCATTAAATTTACTCTACCTTGGACTACAATGAAAAATAAATCTGAAATTAACTCTTAAAAAAGAACAAATAGATACTCCTCCCTTCACATTTACTCTTCACACCACGATTGACCAAAACTGCAGCTATAATGTTTGTGACCACTTGTCACTTAAAGTTGTCACTCACTCTTACAACACAGCCAAACCTTGTGAGGAGCCGGACCCCATATTCCTAAGAATGAATATTTTCCCTTATTAGCAATAAAAACATTTTCTCAGACTTTTTGCACGTTACTATACAGAGGAATATGAGGGCTTGTTATTTTGTTTCTGACACAGACCAGACAGTGGTCAATCAACTGGGGAAAAACTGACTGAACTGTATAATTAGTCCCTCCTGCAAATTCTAATTGAATACGACACCCTGTAGGACAGAGAGAAAGGAGATTCAGAAACTGCAGCTGGTACACCTAAAATGCTCTCCTACTACAAGCTTTAAGGTATGTTATGCACTTATTATTTGTTGCGGGCAAGGAGATTTGAACACCTGTCTTTGATCTTTGGAAACCAACCAATCACTTAATTGTGATCCAATCCATCAAGTACCGTAAATCATTTTCAACTAACATGATTGCCAGATGCTGGAGCCTCTCTTGTCCCATGGCAGACCTCAAGTGTGAATCCATGTTAATACACCAATCATTGACAGCTTTAAATACTGACAAGAATTTTTATGACTGCTCAAAAGATTAACAAAGGAAACATCCATTGACAATATATTTATTTATTTTATTTTTTTTAAAAACCCCACTGTATCCTACGAGGGCAGCACCTTTAAGGGTAAAAATTCTCAGCCTAACTACATCTAGTAGTTTGACAATTTTTGTAGTCACCAACAATCCTTTTAAGTTACCCAATACAGGACTGCAGGACTCCAGCAGCTTAGTGTGGACAGTTGAAATGTGCAGGTCGAGCTCACTAAACATTATGTCCGATAAAGGAATCACGGGATTTTCACACCACAAGTTGCTGGCTGCCCCACAAGACTCTTCAGTGACATCCAGCTCTTCATGCATTTCTGCCTCTGCCTAATACTCAAACATTCTTGCAGCTGTCATCAGGATATTTCCCATTCAATGCATCTTCCAAAGCTTCAGGAAACTTTATTGCTTGACCAAAATCTGCAGTCTGCTTCTGAACACCCCTTGTAGATTGTAGGCTTTGGGGTATGGACTACAGACTAGAACATTTGTTCAGGCACGTGTTCAGGTCCCCTGCTACTGGAGAGCCGACGCTGGACAAATGCTGCAGGGCAGCAGGTTGACTGTTTCTTATTGGGATCCCCGAATGTAGCTGACATACCCCACGTGGAGATGCACAGGTTCAGATGGCTGTATACCAAGCAGTCCTTGAATCTGCGATTTTCAGGTGATTCCAGCAAGTAAAAAAAAAATCCCTAGGCTCAGGTACCAAGTTGGCGGTAACCGTGTGACAGAACCATGTCTATCTGGCATTTACATTACAGTGGACACACATTGCCTCAGGGTTGGTTCTGAAGCAGGTTTGGACAGGTCCTATGGCCCCGGTCATTACAGTGGCACCATCACAGGCCTGAACAACATGACAAAGCCATGTAAACAAGTTGTTTTGGATCTCACCAGATACTTTCCGCTGTAAAACCCTTTAGCCATGTCATTACCAGCAAACACTAATTGTACGTTTGGTGCAAAGACAGCCAAGTCTCCGTTTCTCTCTCTAGCCTCATCTGCCTTTACTGCAAACGTGTGATGCTCTCGGTCCACGAACAATGCCTGCAGTCACTTCTTGAGTACAGCACTCGATCAATTCATTGTCAGAAGATGTAGAGCGGTAGATGCTGTGGGGTAGAGCTAGAAAATTAGAGAAAAATCAAAGTCCACTTCCTTGCGGCCTCAGAGTAGGACTCGTTTATGTAAGAATGCTGTAGTAGCTAAAATGTGGTTTAAGTACTCTCAAAGTAGTCTAACCAAGTTGACCAAGCTCAATCAAAAATTCCCATTTGAGTTAAAGTACTGGACACAGATTAATTTACTTCTGTCCTTTATCTTTGTCTTTCAAGTCATAATCTGAATCTTTTTCAAGCCTTTAAGGCTCCTGAACACTTCTGCTCCTGCCACTTCCTGTACCAGCTGCTCTCACTCCTTTTCCCCGTGTCTGCTCTTCTCTCTCTTCACTGCTGCTTCTCCTCTCACTCCTGCTCCCTGCTCAGTTTCCGACTGTACTCTCCCAGCTGTCATGAGGAAACATTAAAATGAGAGAAACTGAAAAATTGACCATTTCACATACAAGAGAAATTCCTTCTAATACACTCATTTTGTTTTTGCAACAGTTCATGCTAGCTGGACAGGTATAGATCTGATTACCCCCTATAAAATATTTGTGTATGCACATCTTTGTGGAGCCCAATCAACATTGGCTACAACGTCCAAGGTTCAAGCAAGCATAAGTCATCTGAGTAAGCTTAGGGGGATAGTGGGAAATTGTGGGAAATGTGGTGGTCATATGCTAGTGAATATGTGCGGTGCAAATCTGAGCAGTTTAACTTAAGTCAGGCTTTTTTCTGAATAAAGGGGGGCACAACAACCTTCTATGATCACGTTGCAGCACTAGAATCCTTAAATCACATTCCCTGAATCAATCAATAACAAGATGGCATTCCTGGAAGATTATCCCTGCCTCAAATTGTACACTGTGCACTTGGAGTTACTACTTGTCATTGTCATTCTACATTAGCATCTGATCTACTAAACCAGAAGTGGCAAATCTGATCCATGGAGTGCCGCTGTGGGTGTGGGTTCTTGGGATGACCTCTTAAATCAGCAAATAAAGCAGTAGTTCTCAACCATAGTCCTGGGGACCCAATGTGATTGGCTGATTGAGAGGCCATCCCAAAAACCTGCACCCACAGCAGCAGTCAATGGATCAGGTTCACCACTCCTGTCCTAAGCCATAAATGCAACTTGCGACAAACTCATGTTTGCTTGGGACAATTCGGAAACATGCATACTATATACTAAATTTCAAATGCAGATACAGAAAAAGAAACATTTTATACAAACTCACTCTCCCAGCCTCTGCTAGCAGTCCATAGTTCACACTGGGATACATTTGGCCACATAGCATAAAATCAGAGCGTTCTTGATCAATTAATCCATCCTTATTCCAACTGTTAGTGCCCTACGATGCCTCTCAGTCAGGAGAGGTAACAATGGTGGGAAACACCAGGAATGAGACGGCAGTCTACCTCAGAGTACATACACACAGAGAGCCATAAACCATGACCCATTTAGAGAAGGTAAACAGCACAACAGTCTTTGGACTGTGGGAGGAAACCCACGCAAGACAGCATGCAAACACTAGTGCTGTTCCAAACGATTATTCTTTAAACGATTAATCTAGCTGTTTTTCCTTTTTTTGATTATTCGACTAATCTAACAACTAATTTTTCGATTAATCTGATAAAATTTATTGATAAGCAATTATTTAAGTTAGTCATTTAATACAACAATTCACCCTCTCCCCCACACACAAATCTGAAATTCTCATTAAAATTTCATTTTATTAAAACATTTCTTAAACATTAGACCATTAACAAAAAAGGCAAATCTTGAGATTAAATAGGATTGCTATGTTAGACTGAAGTTAAAAATCACTGCAATCAAATTTCTAAAATATATAATGTAATTATGTCCATAGACAATACATCCACAGATAAAATTAAAGTAGAATGGGATAAAGAATTGGGGATTGAATTGTCTGATGAAACGTGGAAGAAAGCACTTAGAATAGTAAACTGAACTACATCATGTGCCCGGTTGGGCTTAATTCAATTTAAAATTTACCCACCGTGTCTGCTACACCAAAGCCAGACTTTCCAAAATATACTCTAACTTAGAAGAAACCTGTGACAGGTGTCACTTAACCAAGGGTGACTTTGTTCATATGTTTTGGTCATGTTATAAACTGGGAGGCTTTTGGGAATTTGTATTCAAAATTGTAAATGAGGTATTTGAGCTGGACATAAAACCTACTGCTGAAATAGCTTCATTTGGAATACCAGGAGATGGAACAGTGTTGACGGATACAGCTCAAATGCTTTCTCTTTTGCCTCTCTTCTTGCACGAAGAATGATATTTTTGGAATGGAAGTCCACACAGCCACCACTTGCATCAGTGTGGCTCTGGGATCTAATATCCTTTTTAAAATTAGAGGCTCAAGTAAAAAATTTACTAAAAACTGGGTACCCATGATTACCCTTTTTGAAAAAATGAAAACTCTTCCCCCTAACTAACTAATTGATAAATAAGAAATTGAATACAATCTGCAACTGACCATTGATCCTTGGTACTGCTTGCCCACAGCAGCACATTCAAATCTGTAAGCCCAATACTCATAATTATAATACTAAATTAATTTCTCCTTATGTTAGGTAATTATTTTTTGTACCTTTTGTATTATGTTATTGTTTAAAGTTCAAATTAAGTTGAGGGAAATCACTGCAATAAGTTTTTACTTAATTCAGTACACCAATTTGACTTTAATGTTTATATAGATGCTAAAACATGGAATGATTTCACAACTAGATAAACATGTTTTTAACAAACACTAGCAAAGGTAGCTTATAGTTAAGCTTACTTCAGTGAGCAAGGAACGATTTAGTTTACAGTGTGTAAGAGTAGTCATAAGCGATAGTTTGTCTCGCTCTTGCATGACAGAATAAGTAAACAGAAAATATAAAGCGGCTGAAACAGCATCATTAACGTCAGCTACAGTAGAGGTGCAGAAATGGTGTCACAACTGAAGTTTTTCCAAACTCTGGAAAACCACGTGCGAGTCTTTTTGCCGCATGATTCTCCAGAGGCTCTGGAGCTCTGCTGGGAGACGCAGCCATGTTGCCTCGTGCGCGGGGTGGGGAGGGTCGGCGGCAAATTCCTTTTTGCAGGGTGGTCTCATTAATATTAGGAGATGTCTCATTAATATTTATGAGAGGAGTGCTACATGATTGGCCAGTGCATGCCTTACAAAATAGCGCGGCACTGCCGGCACCGGCGATATTAGACAAAACTATCAGATTTCAGTCTATAATTGATATAGTTTTAAAAGTGCCAGCAGTGAAACAACTAGCCAGCTTATTAGCGGAATAACTTTGTATTGTAAATGAAAACCATGCCGCAGGTCCAATAAATAAAATATTATAGTGGTGAAGAGATCATCAGGTGGCCAGTAAAGTTCAATTATTAGCAGACTGTTGTATTGCGCGATTATTAAAAGGACATCGTTAACGTGCTACCGAGGGGGTTTTACACAACGCGTTGACACAAATTCCACGTCGGCACATTTTTATAATTGACATTGTTGATTATGTCGAATAATCGTCCCAGCCCTAATTTGAATAATTTATTAATAACTGGTAAATACCTCATTACTGCAGCTCTAGAAAATTCATGTGCAATTTATATTCTGACTGCGCCAGTACAACTCATCTCACAAGGATCACACTCCTAACACAAGTAAACAGAAAAGATGGCAGGTACGAGTCAAAACAGTCCTCTAGTACTGCTTGAGAGCGCCCAAAAAGCTCAGAATCATTGGAGAATTTTTAAAAAGTTGGTAGCAGTACTGTGCAAAAACTGAACATCCAATAAAAAAAAAAATCAGCTGAATATTCAAATATAAAAATATGTAATAGCTGCAGTGCTACATAACTGAACAAATAGATTTAAGCATGGCATTTGAGTCAGGTCTTTAGTCATATCCTCACAAAAGAAGTAAATAAGTTAAGACCCCATGTTAATTTATGCAACCATGGTCATATACAAAACAGAGTGCTCATTAGATGGGGAGTTTAACCAGGAAAGGGGAAATGTTAAAATTGCTTTATTCAACTGGCATATAGAAAGATTAAGAAATAGCACCTAATTCAACTAAAACACAGCCATTAAAATCAAAATTAGAAGTTGTTTCCACAAAACAACTACATATCACCATTGCGCAAAAAAAATCTGGCACTTTAATTGTAACCATAAAACACTGAACAGAAACACTGCAAATTCACCTCTGTTCCATGATTAGCCTCAGTACGTTTTCCCCACAAACCATGCAAGCATTTGTTTTCAGAGCTTCATACAAAATCTTTAAACACTCAAGGCCTCAACCTGTAATATAATGAATAGGAAACACTGCAGAGATTCAAAGGCAGATTGTCATCCTAAGCCACTCCAAACATGCATTGCATGTAATCACCCCCTTTTTACAATACCACTGGTAGAACAAAAAAGCAACAATCATTCAAAAATAAGCCTTCACACTTATTTCAATTATTGTATCACAGATGCTTTTATCAAAAGACACTTCATTCATACAGCTGGATTTTTTGTTGAGTAATCAGGTTACATTCTTTGCTTGAGGGTACATCAACAGGCGACTTCCTGGAAGTTGACCCGGCAAGTCATGTTATGAACGAGCCTCTTTAAGCATCATGCTACCTGCTGTTTGTTTGGAGGCCAAGAGCGAAGGGGGTTAGTCTGGAGCAGTGCTGCACAGGCTAAAATCCATGGCACATTCCCCCCATGTCACTGTGCACGGTGCTCAGACTCTTACCCTACAGCATGGCATACTTCTCTGTCCACTCTCGCGCTAGCCTATTATACCTAATGAGGTGACACGTTCCTGTGTTAAGCTGAGCACCTAGCCAACAGGTAACGTTAAAATCAAACCACATTACCATCAACTGGAACAGTACAAGCATTGAAATACCTGGTTACAACATCATAAGTGCCTGAATGTTGAGTGACTTCTGCTCAAAGGACGGGAATGGGTAAAAGTCAGCTTACTTTTCGTTATCTGTCTTGTAGATGCGTGCAATCTCTGGCACTAGAGGGTCATCTGGGTTTGGATCACACAGCAGTGAACAAATGGACAAAAGAACTGCAAGAGAATGCAAATGTCAACACATTAGTATTACTGCTCCATCATGCAGCAGAATCAAAAGCAAACATTACAAAGCTGACTGTGCTAGTACACTAAAGAGGAAATATTTTTGCTCTACTGTTCCTCCCTCTGACCTTACACATTACTTAAAATATTTAAAAAGACCTCCCTGAAGGCTGGATAAAGTGACAACCGCAGCTCCCAATGCAGAAAGAATGCTACCGCTTAAATCAAGCAAATACTCATGGCATGCGTCCGTGTACATAATTAGGGCTGCCGCAATTAGTTGATGTAGTTAATGACGTTGATGCTGAAAATGCAACCACATCAATATTTTAAAATCTACACATCGTTTTAAAAAATTAATTTTAATTAAATTACCTTTTTGATTTCTAGAACACTTCAGTTCATTGTGACAAATGATTTCCTTCAATATTACTACGCAGTTGTGGAAGAATTTCAAATGATCACAAAACAAAAAGGTAGTTTTACACGGTGCGATGTTCCGGCACTAGCACTCTACATGAGCACCTGAAGAGGAAACACAGAGGTGCTATTCTGGATGTCGGACAGCCAGAAAAGGAAAAACCACCTTAAAATGTTGTCTATTCATGTTTATTAAATTACCATTAGCATCGAGCCTTGTAGCTACTAAATACACTTAAGCCATAAAGTCATCTGCCTGTTACCTTAGAATTTCCATTGAATAAGTGTTTGAGAAAATGTTTAGGCTAAAATCTAGGCTTATTCGGCACTGATTGATGGTGCCAGTATGTGTTCATGTGTGTTAGGCTTTTTGGGAACCAGTGTTATTGTAAACTAAAACGAAAAAGGACACAAAATTTTAAAAATTTGTGAAATGAAATAAAAAATGCAAATTATATTTACAAAAGCGCAATTCAGACTTTAAACTGCAGAATGTACCACCACACTTTCGTTATCCACAATATCTCCTCTTTTACAAGATGTTGCAACCGTTGAGCTGTCCCTCTCTTCACCAGGACTTGCTTCTTATTGCTTCCATAATTTACCAAAACAGTAGCATGTGGCGTGCTCTGGTAACTGAATTTAATGTATATAAGGATATTCCAAATTTATGCAGATTACTAACTTATGGGCATCACAGTATGCTCCTCGTTAATATTTTAGGAGTACTTCTAAAAAAGCCAGCTCCATTATCTAAAGCCTTGCAGTGACAATTTTATTTTGACAAACTAACTTAAATGAAATGATCAATTTGATTTTCTGGAAGAAAATTTATCCTTTAGATTAATTGACCAATCAGTAAAATAACTGATAGAATTAATTGACAGAAAAATAGTCGCTAGTGGCAGCCCTATACGTAATTAAATTTAACATAGAAGAGGCACTAAACGTGAACAGCCACAGGTGGTTATGAAATCAGCCCAATTTAAACTAGACGACTCTGCTGGGTTCATCGCGTTAGGCAGCAGTAATTACGGGAAGGCTGGATCGATACTCTGATAGCTCTTACCTTTAGAAATAGTTAGTGCTGGAGACCATTGTGATCTTAATATATCAAGGCAGATACTGCCATTACTGTTAATGTTTGGATGATAAATTCTTGTGGTAAATGCCACCTACAAAAGGAGAGAAAAGGCTCTTTAGATTTACACAAGCAGACTTTATTGTATGATTTGAGCTAAAAAAACTCCTTCGATACACTGAGAAGTAAGGGTGGGCAATATGTCTAAAGTCAAAATATCTCAGTTTTGTAATGTTAAACAGTAATGTCAATGAACCATGTAAAAAGGTAAATTAACAAGCTTTTTGTTCTAGGTCTAATTACTAAGTTGAGATCCACTGAGACAGATAATTGACAAAAAATGAGATATACAGACAGCACAGAGATGTTATGCAGGCCAGAACTGCTGTTTCACATTGATTTGTTTTTGTAGTATTAATGTTGCACCCTCTGCGCAGGCAGGCATCATGTGATGTTCTGTCATAATAATAGTCTTAAATGGTGCACTTGTAACTGGGCATTCATTGGAAGCTCAGCTTAGCTGCACTTGTGCCTCAGCAGCATGCGTGTTTGTAATGCGCCAGCTGCCTTACTTGTATGTTGTTTTGGACAAAAGTGTCTGCTAAGTAAAAGTAAATGTAGTAAATGTCTTGCAATACCTCTGAAATATATATTGTGGATAGAATTGTAACTGGTTACTATAAAATATCACCATATCACCCACCAATACTGAAAAGCTCAGTGTTTATATCAAAGTAAGATTCTGCTGAGGTTACAGCGAGCAGCTTTTAGCTAAGGGCTTCTTATCCTCTATGAAGGAGCTCACAGCATAATCCACAGCACCTGAAAAAGTGCCCTTGGCATCACGCTGGTATGGGATCAGAAGTTGACAGATCAACACTGCTTTCACAGGATTACATGACACAGTGGCCTCTCCGAACGGCTCCACAGATTTCTCGCTGGCAGTAAAATGTAAGCTTTTGTTCTTTCACAAGTCAGAAACGAAACAAATACAGGGCCTTGAGATAACATCCTCCGAAGCTCATCCTAGGTCTACCTTCACGAGGAACGCTAAGGGCTCAGTATGGAAGGTTCATACTTGGGGTTAGCAATCCACAGAAGAATTGAAATGAGTGACAAGCCGCTTACCTTAGGGGGTTTGAAGGGGTAGTCTGTGGGGAAGTGAATAGTCAAAAAGAAAACACCACCCTGGTATGGACTGTCATTCTGTGGAAGAATGAACAAGTATCAAATTCCACCCAAACACAATGATAATCTCTGGACATGCAAGTGGAGGATGGATTTAAATACTCACAGGTCCCATGATTGTTGCCTGCCAGTGAAACACTATAATGGGGGGAGGGGGAAAATTAGGTTGTTTTCAGCAGGAATCTTTCAGAGAAGAGGGAACGTTGTGGGACTTACTATCATCTCCGACAGGGCCTGCGGAACACTGTGCGGGGGGGTCGCGTGCCAAGTCGTTCAGCTCCTGTAGGCAATGAAAGAAATGAGGAGTAAGACCTCAGCTTGAAGATGAGGTTTAGTTCAACATATTTGCATTTGCTGAAGCCAGAAACAGTGTTAACACTGAATTAGTACTCAAGGAAAAAAACCCAGGTGAGAACCAGAATTATATACTTAGCAGTTCAGAAGTTATAGCTATCCAATTAAAAAACAAACACAAAATCGTTGTCCAGCTGAAATTACTCAAAACAACCCTGGTGATAACAGACCAAGACTAATCAACTCATCTGAATACACTAAAGCATTGTTCTGCGATTGTGGAAAAAAAGCAGTAACACAAGTCGAGTAAAACAAATAATGCATAGTCATATTTTCAGTTAGTCCATAACTTTTACACAGATAACTAGAAAACATGGGAGCATATTGAACGCAGATGCTGAGTGTTTCCCCTACCATTATATTAGGGGGGTGCCCCACCCCCACAACGGCACCTCCTGCCCTCTCCTTGAACATCAAGTTAATTTTATTTTGTATATAGCGCCAGATTACAACAGAAGTCATTTAAGGTTATCATTCCTATAGAATAGGTCTATACATCGTCCTTTTTTGAAACTAAATAGCCTTATGTTATTTATCTTATCTACACAACAGCTTGTTATTTTTGTCTCTACACGGTCGTGCTCCTCTGCTTTCTGTATCGTGCATGGCGGAGTTCCGCCCCGATGCGCACACACAGGTGAGCACACTCCCACCAGCAGAGAGAGAGCGCGAGTCGGAAAATATGTCGGTCAACCACCTGAAAAGCAGACAAAAATATCTGCGTTTTTTAAACGCTCCCAGGGTGGTGAAGATGGCAACACTCGCTCTCAGAAAAGCCCAGAAAGATACACTGCAGTGACAGAAGCTGCACACTTTGTGGATAATTGTCATAAAAAGAAATGTTCTGATGTTTAGTTCAGTTGTTATATTGATGGCTGCTATTAAAAGAAATACAAACACCATAAATCCTGTCGGTGTCCGTCTGCCCCCCCACCCCCCAAAGCTGTAAATCTAGGGGAAACACTGGATGCTTATTAATGAATCTGAGGTGTTTCAGTTTATACCCCATCATACACAAAGATGTTGGGCAGAACCAGCTGGCCATAATTTCAGCTACCATGCTGAGTCGAAATCTCAGTGACTTTCACAGAAGGGTGACTGAGGCCCATTAGGCAGGAACTCTATATATTAAGACTGCTCCATGTTGTACACTTCCATGAGGAAGTGCCACAGTGGAGTTGCTCTCCCGGATGTGCAGGAAAGGCCCCAGGTGAGGCCTAATAGTGTACCCTTAACACAACAAACCTTTCAAATGGTTCAACATGCAAGATAAAACAGATGAGTAATGCAATCAGCTTATTTATCAGCAAATAATTAAAAGTGTGGACAAATTTATCAAGAACTTCACATAGATTTTAACAGTAAAGGACACGCACGCTGAGAAGTAACGCAAAAGCCCATCAATGAACTGTACTTTTAGGAGTAAAATTGTGCAAGTGTTTGCAGAATAGATGATACAGTGGCACAGAGGATAGCACTATTACCAGAATTGGGAGTTAGAATCCCACTCATGGTCTGTGTGTGGGGAGTTGGCATAATCTCCCTAAGTTATGCTGGGCTTTCTCCTTGCAATTAGGCTAATGGGTATCTCTACATGTGCGTGTATGTGCCCTGTGATGACTGGAATAGCCCAGGTTGTACCCCAGGCCAGCTCTGCTTGGGAAAGGCTGCACCCATCCCCCTCCCCAGACCAGGATAAGAGCCAGGAAGATGGATGCTGACGTAAATATAGGATATGACCACAACAGAGACCACAGCTGAGTCTGCCTCAGAGACATATGGCCTGTTTCCGCACCACTCCCCATAAGATGTCACTCTTTGGGGTGCTGGGAGGCCAGCAGGGTAGGGATCTGTGCTTGCGTCGGGAAGTTCATGGGTTCAAATCCCATGGCTGGCAGAGTGATCACACTACTGTTGGGGGCTTTAGCAAGGCCCTTAGTCCCAAACTGTGCCAGGGATGTCAGCCCTCCATCACCAAGCTTTCGATAAGTATCTGCTAAATATATGCAACAAATGGGGGGGGGAAGCATTGGATAATGTCAATCAAGATTAGAGGTGGGCAATAAATCGATTTTATCGATTAATTCGAATTTACAGTTCAGGACGATGTGGTTTTATGAAAATCGATATTACTTATTTTACACACGAGCGTCAAAAGCGGAACTAATGCGACGCACCGTTCTTCACGGGTACATTAGCGCGGCGCACCTAAACACTGTTTAAAAACTGTTGCAACCCAAGGAAGCTGCACAACAAATTTATTCCAGCACCTCAAGCAGAGGCACACTGCGGAGTGGAAGAAGTGCAGCTCCCAGCGAAATGAAAACACTCGCAGCACCAGCACAACATCCAAAGTTAAGCAAGCAACCGTCCCTGACACGTTTTTGAACTGTGTGCCATATGATAAGAATGGGGCACGGTGGAAGGCGATAAACGCTGTCGTGATGTATATTGCAAAAGACATGATGCCCATACATACTGTACGTGGAAAAGGGGGGATTCATTAACATGCTAAAAGTTTTTACAAGTTTCTAAAAGTGTTTACAATGGCGTGGTCTGCCATCTCACTTACAAGCATCTTTTTTGGCTTGTCAGATTGCACTTAGTTAAAGTAAAGTTAAAACTTGTTTTGAACCATTTGTCATCTGTAGTTTGATTTTGAGTAGGGGAGGGGAAAATCGATTAAAATCAAAAATCTGAGATTTTATTTTTAGGACTAGAGCTGGGCGATATGTAAGGGATAATGTACAGGCAGCCGGTAGTTATCGCAGAAATAAGCCCCGACAGTGTGATCAGGACCCGACGCGAAGCGGAGTGTCTTGTATCACACTGAAGGGGCTTATTTCGCGATAACTACCGGCTGCCTGTACATTATCCCGCTTATTACACGGCTACTTGCCACATAAGGAAAAAAACTGGACATGAATATGAATTTGAAACATTTTATTGGCATATTTGTTTTAAATTAACATTTTTAAACGGTAATCTTTGTTGGCGCGGAGGGATTTTAAACATACAAGTAGTACCGGCTATGCGTTATTACTTTGGAGCTGTTATTATTTGAAAAGAACGAACCTGCAAATGTCTCAACTGACCAATCAGAATCAAGCATTCCAGAGAGCCGTGTAATAAGGCAAGATAAGTTATCTTGGCCCCACTCTCCAGAAGGCACACAGTGTATAGGCTCAAGCCCTTCTTTCATCCTGTATGGTAAAGGGTTCGACTGGTTCTTATGTGAAACGCATGCTCCTGCCTTGAATAGGGCCATTCTCAAGTGCGTATGAAACAGATTAACTACAAAAACGCAAACCATATAAACTAGAGGTGGATGATATAATTTGAGACTGCTTGCAACTGTATCAATGATAAGCTTTTCAGAGTTTATTGCAAGAATCGTGATACAGCACTACAATATTATGAGAACAGAACAAACCAGCAAGCGACTATCACATGATGCCTGCATGTTCGGACACTGCAATTGTACAACAAAAACAGACCGATGTAAAACAAAGCAATTTCAGTCTGCGTATAATCTCAGTGCTGTCTGTATATCTCACTTCTTTGTTACTTATCAATCAAGTGGATCTCAACTTAATGACTAAACCTAGAAAAAAAAAATTAATTGATATTTTCAAAAGTTAGCTAACCTGTCAAAAAAAATTAAAAAATATTACAAATATAAGAAAATATTACAATTTCCTCATAAGAGTAATTTAAGATCAGGAAAAGGCATGAGAAAATTGTAAAATATGTCCTTTCTCAGCTTCTGTAATACAATCAGACTGCTAAAAATACTGCACTTCTGTCACACAGTAAACACAAGGTCCATGGAAGTGTCAGCTACACTAACAAAAACAGTGTGATGAGGAAGAATTGGTTAAAAAAAAAAAAAAGGTTCCGCTGTAATTGTGTGGAAATTGGTCCATGTTGGATTTTGCACATCCAATCTACTGTAATTTGCAAAGGTGCAGTTCATACAATAGATGGTAACAACAAACCTTTTCAACCACCTGAAATGCAAGCACCCCAAACAAGCCGAATATCTGGTTATGAGAAAATAATGTTATAATTATATAAGCAATGTTCCCTGCAAGAATAGAATCACTGGGTAAGTGGTTAAATGATCATCATTACTAGGATTGTATTCCAATTTGGTTAGTTCTGGAATAAAAAAAAAAAAAAAAGTGATTTCTCTCATGGATCATGATTTAAAGAAAAAATATTGTGATATGCCATTTCGGTCACATTGCCCACCGTTATATATCATGCATCGTGGCTGTCCCATGTTGAAATTTCTCATAAAGGGGACGTCGGTCTTAAAGTCTGACGTGCTAATTGATTTTGTCGCCATAACTTTGTAACACTGTTTGCATAGAGGCTTATGGCTTTTTTTTTTTAAACTAAAGCAGCTTGCAAAGTGCCTTCAACTGCAGCATATGATATGTTCGGCCAACTTGGTATGTGTGTGTTAACCAGCGCGAATGCATTCAGCGGCTATTGTGTGTGTGCGTGCGTGCGCTGTAGTGGTGCTGTGTGAAGTGTGGCGAATGAGGCGAAAACCGCACTGTTGGTATCAATAATGGTGAAAATGAATATCTAATCAGATACTAATTTTTAATATCGATTAGTATCTGAGAATCGATTTTTTTGGGTCCAGCGTCAGCTATATCTTCCGTTTCTGATCTTTCGCGATACGGCAGTGAAAAAGATCCCCCGTTAAACAGTTTCTAGCTGTGCCACATTCCGAACGTTGCGTAGGCTATTTAAACCAGTATTGCGGTATAAGAAAATTTCATATCATAACAATAATAAAAAATGGTTTTCGGTATGAACAGGTTTACCGCCCAACATCACGAGTGTCACGAGTCCCATAATTCTGCATTCTCTTTAAAGGGCGTTTTTCCACCGCAACAGGTACCTTACTTT